GGCGGTGGAGCTGCTGCTGGTGCTGAGGACCCGGGCGGTGGAGCTGCTGCTGGTGCTGAGGACCCGGACGTTGGAGCTACTGCGGGTACTGAGGACCCTGCTGCTGGTGTCTCTGCTCGTTCTGGAGACGCTGCGCGGCCGCGACCGTACTTCGTACTGCTCCTTCAGCAGGTTCTTGGTCAGACTCCTCCTCCTTGTCCTCCTCCCTCCGTAGAGTGTCCTCCGCCTGTCCCGCCGCAGTCACAGTTACCGCCTGCCTCGCCTCTCCCTGCTCCCTCTCCTTACACTGGTCCCACGGGAGGTCTTACAGAGCGTCGTGAGCCTGAGTCTCGTCCTGCGTCGCCTGTTCGTACTACTCGCACTGGTCGTCGTGTCCCACGTGAGCGTCCTCCTCCTGTCCCTGGCACTCACTACATGACTCTGCGTCCCTCCACTTCTCCTCAGCGTGTCCCACTACCGTCTCCTCCCGCTTCCTCTCTTCCTACTCTTCCTGACCCGGAGTCTGACTCCCGTCGTGCTGCCAGTCCCACTGTCACGCGCCTCCTCGCTACTGTTGTCACTGACCCTACCTTTGAGTCCTCTGCTGCGTCTGCGCTGGTCGCTGAGCTGGTTGACTTTGCTGCCCGGTGTCGTCTAGACTACGCTGCTAGCCTTGTCGCTGAGTCTGAGTCTGAGTCTGTCTGTCCTCCGTCCGTCGGGGGTGAGTATGCTCTTGGCACGGACGTCCTTGAGGACAGACAGGAGGAGTTCCAGTGCCTTGCTGCTGTTTTGCCCCGTCTCGTGTCCTTACTAGTTGCCCCTGAGGGAGACCCGGATGCTCCTGACATCCCGACCCCGCGCTCTTACGCTGAGGCGATGGCGGGTCCCTACTCCTCTCAGTGGCAGACAGCCATGGACGCAGAGATGGCTTCCTGGAAGTCCACACGCACCTACGTCGACGAGGTTCCCCCTCCTGGGGCGAACATCGTCAGTGGCATGTGGATTTCCAGGGTGAAGCGGCCGCCGGGTTCTCCTCCTGTCTTCAAGGCGCGCTATGTTGCTTTAGGCTTCAGCCAGCGAGAGGGAGTAGACTTCTTCCAGACCTTCTCCCCCACCCCGAAGATGACCACTCTTCGGGTGCTGCTGCACATAGTCGCTCAGCGCGACTACGAGCTTCACTCACTTGACTTCAGCACTGCCTTCTTACAGGGCAGCCTACACGAGGAGATCTGGCTGCGTCGCCCTCCTGGTTTCACTGGGTCGGTTCCTCCTGGTACCCAGTGGAGGCTCCAGCGGCCGGTCTACGGTCTCCGCCAGGCACCGCGTGAGTGGCACGACACACTGAGGACGACACTTGCAGCTCTTGGGTTCGCTCCCTCTACTGCTGACCCGTCACTGTTTCTACGCACAGACACCTCGCTGCCGCCGTTCTACATCCTCGTGTACGTCGACGACCTGGTCTTTGCTACTGCTGACACCGCGGCACTCGCCCACGTGAAGTCGGAGCTGCAGAGGAGACACACGTGCACAGACCTGGGGGAACTGACGAGCTATCTTGGCTTGCGGATCACCCGGGACAGAGCACGGCGCACCATCACCTTGACTCAGTCACACATGGTGCAGCAGATCCTTCAGCGCTTCCGCTTCACGTACTCCTCGCCTCAGTCCACTCCTCTGCCTACCGGTCACTCGCTCTCAGCTCTGCCTTTGGATGAGTCCGTAGAGCCGAGTGGCCCGTATCCAGAGCTTGTGGGCTGCCTCATGTACCTGATGACCTGTACTCGACCTGACCTGGCATACCCTCTTAGCATCCTTGCACGCTATGTTGCTCCTGGCCGTCACAGGAAGGAGCACATGGATGCCGCTAAGAGGGTGTTGCGCTACTTGTGCAGTACGTCGGGCATGGGGCTAGTGCTTGGAGGGCGAGACCGAGTTGTACTCACAGGACACTCAGACGCCTCTTGGGCTGACGACCAGGCTACTCAGCGGTCGTCTCAGGGTTACACCTTCAGCCTTGGCTCTGGCTCAGTTTCTTGGCGTTCTACACGCTCTTCTTCTGTTCTCAGCTCCAGTTGTGAGGCTGAGATCTACGCCACAGCCATGGCTGCCCAGGAGCTACGCTGGCTGACCTACCTGCTGACCGACCTGGGAGAGCGGCCTCGTTCTCCTCCAGTGCTGTACGTCGACAACAAGGCTGCCATTGCCTTGTGTGAGGAGCACAGACTGGAGCACAGAACGAAGCACATCGCCCTGCGGTACTTCCTTGCTCGAGAGCTGCAGCAGCGCGGTCAGCTTTGTATTCGTCACGTGGCCACTGAGGCCAACACTGCTGATGTGTTCACCAAGGCACTTCAGCCTTGTGACCATCAGCGCTTCTGCACTCTGCTAGGCCTTGTGCCTACTGGACCTCATTTGCTTACTTCTTGACCTTGCTTGTACTGTGATCACTATATCTATATGTATACCTGCATGTTCACTCTTGCTAGGTTGTGATCACTGTATCTCTTGCTCTATTATAAACCTGCATGTGGACTGGTCTTGTGACCGCTTGCTTGTGCTCGGAATTTGTGTGGAATCCTTGAGATCCACCCTGAGCTTGCCTTTCTTTGCTTTGACTGGTCTCGTGACCCTGTGGTTGTCTCCCACTGCGCCTATGGGGGTGTGTCAAACATTACATGTTTATATGATTGTAGGTTCTAGTGAGTTACACCTTAGGGGGTACACTAGATTAGGGTTTCCTACTTGTATCCAACTTTGTGCTAGTACAGTCATTCCTGTCTGTTGATTCTGACACTTGGCTCTTTAGTACCGATTCTGCTCGCCACGCAAGCAACACCTTAATTTTGTCGAGCGAGGTTTTTATTTTCCAGCTCGTATTTAGTCCGTAGATTACAATGGCTGCGTCGGTCTGACACTGAAGCGTAATCTGTCCTCAGGTGAGCGATCATAATTTATGTTGCCTTCGATGTTGCGTCTTCTTAATGTTAAAGCTGCTTTAGTTGATGGGTTCTGTTCCCTTTTTTCTCGTAATGCTGTCTCTTTGTTTTCGTCGTTCACCCCACACCTACCTTCTTCGCTGTCTTATCTCGTGGTTTCACCGAATCGTTTGTGCGGCGCGCAGGTCGGATATTTCTCTTCGGTAAGCTGCCTTTGAAGATGGACTAACTACTATTTTTGTCCTGTCTTTTTGAAACAGATTAATTATTGCTCAATTCGTTTAACCGTAAGACACCCTAACCCGTCACTGCGCATGCCTCGTTTCTGACATTTCTTTGAAGCATCTTATTTGACTTTCTAACTCGTGATTTTGTTTTCGTTAGTGTTTTTATTGTGGTTGCTGTGATGATATTTAGTTGACTTCTGCCTTCAAAGTAGCTGGGGTGTTGTTAGCTGGTGTGTTGTTCTAGGTAGGATCTTACATGGATGCTTGTTTCAGTCTAAAGTTTGTGTTAATTACTAGTAGAATATAATCTGCCTATCATCAGAGTTGGAATTTGTAAAAGAACTTAGTAGAGCATTTAACCAAATAATGCAAGCACTGTCTTTCAAATTACCGTCCAATCTAATATAATGCTCATAACGGTACGTGAGGTAACCCCAATCTGGTTACTAGGATACCTCACAAAGAAGAATTATTAACAATAATAATGTGTCTGTGTATTACTGTCAGGTATCCAAATCTGGTTACCAGGTAGTAACAGTAGCGCTTTGCGCGTTTCTGCTGGGGAAGGTTGACAATCGTAAACGGTGGTTCGCACAGGTCATCTCGTCATATATTGAGAGAAGTGCAAATTGCATTGGACCCCTCACCTCTTTTACGCCCTGAACTCCCAAGTCGTGTACGATCGTATACGACCGTACAAACCCAATCAACCCCATCTTACACTCCGACACAGTAGCTGAACAATCGGAAGTTTATGCTGGTTCGGACCCCCCTCCGTTTTCGAATCACAATGGGCAATACTCTTGGCGGTTTATTGCCCTCGAAGTAAATCACAATCTGCACAACACAAACGACGCATAGGAGGGCATTAACCACCCGAAACGCTCTCCACATTTTTCTGATGTCGTGTTGCACACGGCAGGCCTAACGAATCTCCACGAGGGGCGCCTCAACGAGTTGCATTGGGGTTGCGCGCCCCGGGAAAATCGTTGCCGTCGAGAGCCATACGGGAGTCGGTGAGTCAACCGACTCCCCACCTTCCTACCCCGTCGGGTTGCCTTCGGCGGCCAAGCCGCGTTTCATGCGTTGACCTCGCCGGCGAGCCTAACCCGCTGCTCGCCTCACACGCTTAGCGCGTCACCTGCTGCTCTTAGGGGAGAACGACTTGAATGTCCCCAAACTCGTCACACACGCGAGGCGCCACAAACGCTGCGCGCCTCCCACATCGCGGAAAAGGCAAGGGCCAAAAGTGACGGTTTTGTGACTTTTCCGTCACATTTACGTCACAAAAAAGGGGACGACCAAATGCTTTCAACATTTGGCGTATCTAGCAGCTATGCGCAGCCAGGCATGGCTGAGAAAGCCCTGCGCAATCCCCAAACATTCTTCAGAGGCCTAACAATGCGTATGCACTGCCATTAGTTGCTACTACCAATGTACCCCCTTTCACATTGTGTGTTCGGGAGGGTTGTGTGTTGGGCGCGGCTGGTATGGTTCACTTCTTTGTAATGAGTCTTCCCATATAAGTACAAGAATGGTGTTTAGCCTGAGATATAATAGTTTTGTTATACGACAAACAGCAATTATTAAAATCACAAACAAACCCACACAGCAAAAGCATCCTTGAGCAAAAAAGCTTTTGGCTAAAAGCCCTCCTGGCTACAAAGCATCCCAATGGCTACATCACCCCCCACCTTGCAACAAAACCTACAAAAGGGAAAGAGATATAATACAGATGCAATTTAGTCCTTGCATGTCGTGCGCCTGCGCCGCACCCAAGATACCCGGAACACGCTTTGGCAACAACTCCAGCACGGGGTGTCGGCAACAAGAAACCTCTGCAGCATCTAGTGCGGCCTTAGGTCAACTCCTCGCGGCAGCGGGCCGCCCACCTGTTCAGATACCAGAGACCAGGAGTCACAAACGACTCCACCATGTGCACGGTCCTCTGCACAACTATGACTGGCACGAGGTCGTAGCTCAGCTCGTCGTCGGAGGGCCGCATCCTCATGCAGCCAGTGCCTTCATCCACCTGGGAGGGGTACCACTGCCTCACAAATGCCACGCCCTCTCCCGCGGGGTGTGCATCCTCGCTGTTCATCATCAGCGTCAGGAGAAGGTGCACGCGGCCGTACACGGTCTCCCCGCTCCCGTTCTCATACTCGATGAACGAGAAGGCGGGAGCGCCATGGTGCGAGGGGCTGGCGCGGACATAGTGCGGCCTGATCAGGCCGTAGTCCGTCTCGCGGGCTGGCAGAGCCAGCGCCGTGTGGACCTGATACGCCAGAGAGGGTTTAGGGCAGGAGAGATTAGGGTGGGATTACGGTTGACATAGGGGGCAGGAGAGATCAGGGAGGGCTTAGACAAGGAAAGATGGCAAGCATGGCGGGCACAGGCATGGTCAGTGTAGGGCATGGGCTGAAAAAAGCTACGGCAGAGAGAATCAATGAAGATACGAAACCAGGGCGTACGGAGTCATGGGTTGAGTGAGGCAAGGGCGGCCTGAACCAAGGGAAACACGAAACCAGGGCATACAGAGGCATGGGCCGAATGGGCCATGGGCTGACAGGTGCAAGGGTTATAACCAGGGCAGAAAGAGTCATGGCTGAATTGGCCATGGGCTGAAAGACCCCAGGGCAGAGAGAAGCAATGAAGATACGAAACCAGGGCGGGCAGAGTCATGGGTTGAATGAGGCAAGGGCGAGACACGAAACCAGGGCGGACAGAGGCATGGGCCGAATGGACCACGGGCTGAGGGAGGCAAGGACGATAATAAATCGGGACAGAAAGTAGCTGGGAAATGCAGAAACCATGGCATCCTCAGAGGCAAGGGCGTAACGTTTACCATAAAAACTGGGCTCGGCCCATGTGGACTTGTGATCCGATGGAAAATGCAGTGGGACAGTGGCAGAGATGAAATGTGACGGGGCGGGAAAGGTAATAAGGGTTACCAAGCGACGGTGAGTGAGACAATGGGTGTTGTTATGCCACCAGCAGACACACGCACTTACCCATGCTGGAAAAGAGACGTAGCCGAAGAGACACGTCAGGTAGGCGTAGGGCCCGATGCCTCCGGGGATCGCGGCATCGTACGTCGCGCACAGGTCCAGGGGAGCCTGCTCCCTGTCACTGACAGCACTGATCATCCGGGATCGCTGGCGGCACAGCTGGGGCAGGCCAGTGGCGATCGCCTGCGGCATTCCATGTCGGGGGTCAAACGCAATGGACATGGTGAGCAAGTCGTTAGAGGCCAGAGGCATCTGGTATTGTCCAACCACCAGCTTACCACACTCACGTCACTAACCTGGCACCGCATGGACAACACTCCAATGAATTGGAAAGGCAAACATGCATGCTTACCCGGCGCATCGCGGTGTTGTACTGGCGATCTCCCTCGAGGTTGGTTGGCAAGAGGGTCAGAAGAGCCGCATTGGTGTTGTGCTGCGCAATCGCGCGCAGCAGGTCACAGTGGTTGGACCTGCGGTACGGCCTCTTGCAGGTGCGGATGTGTGCGTTTTCATACACCGCTGCAGAGTACTCTCGAGGCAGGCCACCCCTTCGAATCGCCTCCGTGAGGTGAAGCAGCAGGTGCACCTTCACAAGGTTCCATCCGGCGTGCTCGCGAGGGAAGGTGCTTTCTACTAGCTGCACCATCTTGAAAGCATGGATACAAGTGGGACACGTGGTTGTCATTAGACTAGAGTCAATACAAAACATTCGAGGTAAATCTGTCGAACAAAATACAGTGCAATAAGAAACCAGAGCGGACAGAGGCAAGGGAGATAAGAAACGAGGGCGTAAAGAAACAAGGAAGTTCAAAAGCCAGGGCGGTCAGAGGCATGGGTTGAATTGGTCCAGGGCAGAAAGAAGCACGGGCGGAAAGAATCAAGGAAGCTTAGCATGAAAAGGGCGGACAGAGACGTGTGCTGAATGGGTCATGGGATGGCAGAGGCAAAGAAACGAGGAAATGCGGAAAACATGGCGGACAGAGGCATGGTCAGAATGAGGCATGGTCAGAATAAGGCATGGTCTGAATGAGGCATGGGCTGTATGAGGCATGGGCTGAATGAGGCATGGGCTGTATGAGGCATGGGCTGAATGAGGCATGGGCTGAATGAGGCATGGGCAGAATGAGGCATGGGCTGTATGAGGCATGGGCTGAATGAGGCATGGGCAGAATGAGGCATGGGCTGTATGAGGCATTGGCGGAATGAGGCATGGTCTGAATGAGGCATGGGCTGTAGGAGGCACGGTCTAAATGAGGCATGGGCTGTATGAGGCATGGGCAGAATGAGGCATGGGCAGAATGAGACATGGGCTGTATGAGGCATGGGCTAGTCCCATGACAGTAACGACCCCCACAACAGTGTCTACACCACTTACCTGCATGTGGCAGCGTCGAAGGCACTCAGGCTCTCATCTGTTTGCTCCGCCGCCCTCACGAACGTCTCGTGCCAGTCCAGGAAGGCAACGATCGTGCAGCTGCAGATCACCGCTACTTCGCCCTCCAGCATGAAGGGTACAATCTGCCACAGACGCGGGAATCGCAGTTACCATATGCAATATAACCAGGGACTGGCTTGTTAGATACAATAACAGGACCAGGGTAAAGACCCGGCACTTGATAGAAACGCGCACCATCATGACACCGGCGTGCTCCGATGCCGTGAAGTTGGCGCCGGAGACCCAGTACGCCGCGTCGCTAGGAGTACGCAATCCCGCCTGCCTTGCACCAGGGTGAAGATTGTTCTGGCGCCTGCACCAAATCAGGGACGGGAACATGATACAAAACTGAGAGAGCGTGGAACGGCTGGACACAAGATGATGGGCGTTAATCACAGTTGAATCAACGAGCATGTGGTTGCGTCACCATGGGTTCAAGCCAATGTACACACTTACGCGTCTAAGGTTGCGGTGCGGCGATCCCCACCACGGAGAGCGGCACGAAGGTACAGCCAGAATCCCAGGTAAATAATGTGCAGGATGTCCGGCATCTGTGACAGGTAAGTGTTCCCCCACAGCGTGCGGGAGAAGTTCCACTCCCAGAGGAATGAGTGCAACCACGGAAAAACATGGGAGGTATAGACAAGACACGGATTTGAAACGCTGTGCCTGAACTATTGCCACCATGTGTATGTGATGGCACACTCAAACGCCACCAACATCACGTGTAAATGGAGGCAACTACCGCGACACAGAACGTCGAGTAGGATCGGGCCAGCTGAGGGTTGGCAATGAGTGATGACTGCTGCTCCACTGACCGCGACTCCGACGCCTCTGCCGTCATGTTCCTGAGCTGCCCCCGCTCCACATAGCACAGGGAGCAGGGCATCGCGCTGCCATGCTGCTGGGTGCAGGAAACCTTGCAGGTTTCTGGGAAATCTGCCACGTAGGAGTATAGCAGAGGCCATACGACCCTGTCTAAACCCCATGGATTACGGGCCGCCATCCCCCTGTGCGCAATGCGGAATGTGGCAAGGGCAGATAGAGGCAAGGAAGTGCAGAAACCAGGGTTTAGATGCATGGGCAGAATGATACACGGGTGGACAGAGGCAAGGGAGTGCAGAAACCAGAGCGGCCAGAGGCATGGGCAGAATGATACACAGGTGGACATAGGCAAGGGATTGCAGAAACCAGAGCGGATTCCAGGCATAGGCAGACTGATACAGGCGGGAAGGAACAAGAGAGTGCAGAAACCAAAGCGGGAAAAAGCAGATGAGTGCATAATCCATGGCGGACAGAGGCGTGGACTGAATGGGGCAAGGGGCGAAAGAATCACGGACGTTAAGGAACCAGGACGAAGAGAGTCAAGGTAGTGCAGATAACGGTGCGGGAAAAAACAGAGAAATGCATAAGCCATGGCGGACAGAGGAATGGGCGGAATGAGGCAACAACTTCGATAGCATGACAACAAAGAAAAGGAACCAGGGAGAAGAGAGACTAGGGAGTGCAGAAAACAAGGGGGGGGGGACATGAGAAGTGCATAAACCATGGCGGACAGAGGCAAGGGAGTGCAGAAACCAGGGGGGAACAAAACAATGAAGTGCATGGACCATGGCGGACAGAGGCATGGAGCGAAGGAGGCAAGGGGCGAAAGAAGCTAGGAAGAAAATAAATCAGTACGAACAGAGACGAGAGAGTGCAGAAAACTGCACGGGAAAAACCAGAGAAATGCATAAGCCATGGCGGACAGAGGAATGGGTGGAACGAGGAAAGGACGGAACGTGAGAAGGAAAGAAAGGAACCAGGACGAACAGAGGCAAGGGAGTGCAGACACCAGGGCGGAATAAGCAAGGAAGTGCAAGGACCATGGCGGACAGAGGCATGGAGTGTATGAGGCAAGGGCAGGAGGAATCAAGGAATATTAGACTCCAGGACGAACAGAGGCAAGAGAGTGCAGAAAACGGGGCGTGAAAACCCGGAGAAGTGCATAAGCCATGGCATGCAGAGGCATGGTCGTAACGCGGCAAGGGCGGAGAGACGCGAGGTTGAAAAGGAACCAGGGCGAACAGAGGTAAGAGAGTGCAGAAAATAGGGCGGGAACAACCAGAGACGAGCAGGCACCATGGCGGACAAAGGCCATGACAGAAAGAGTGAGGGGCGGAATGAGGCAAGGGCGGCCTTGGCCGCGGGTTTAGAGCACTCACGTATGTGATGCGACAACCAAGTCCGCGAGGACCACCTGCATCGCAGCTTGAAACAGCTGCACCTTCTGCTCCGCCGTCATCCCATGTACTGGCATCGGGAGTAGGGCAAGCAGAATCTTCCCCGAATCACCCCAACGGAGACGGAGATGGATGTTGGCTATGCTTAGGTACACTGCCCACACCTTCACACGCTCGTTCCCGCTGAGAATGGTTGCGTCACTTGAAATGATGATGGGTACCACCACCTGGCCCGGGCCATACATTTCATCCAGGGCGGCCTGCCAACAACAAAGCATGGTGATGAGGTACGGGCAACACAACATAGGCTGCTGGGTCCCAATAAAAACACACAACAATGCAAACACGAGTGTCATATGAGCCATAGTAGGCCAGAGCATAAACGAGTTCAACAACGTACACCCCCTCGACAAGACAGAACATGCGTCCATACCTGCGCAGTTTCCCACAGAATGCCAGTCTCTGGCCTAGTGTACACGCGCCCCGCCACCGAGTGTACCGGACGGGCAAACAACTGGAACCCTTCAGCATTGTCACGGTGCCCGAAAAGCTCCACGACTCCCTGAGCCAGAGCAAGGGCGGACAGAGGCATGGGCGGAATGAGGCAAGGACGGAATGAGAGAAGGGCGGAATGGGGCCAGGGGGAATGAGGCAGGGACGGAACGAGGCAGGGACGGAATGAGGCAAGGACAGAATGAGACATGGAATGAATGAGGCAGAGACAGAATGAGGCAATGGCGGAATGAGACAATGGCAGAAAGTGGCAAGGACGGATCGAGACAAGGAAGGAATGAGGCAAGGACGGACTGATACAAGGCATAAATGATGCAAGGGCGGAATGAGACAATGGTGGATTGAGGCAGGGACGGAATGAGGCATTGGCGGAATGAGGCAAGGACGGAATGAGGCAGGGACGGAATGAGGCAGGGACGGAATGAGGCAGGGACGGAATGAGGCAGGGACGGAACGAGACAAGACATGAATGAGGCAAGGACGGAATGAGACAATGACGTAACGGGCAAGGATGGAACGAGGCAGGTACGGAACGAGGCAAGGACGGAACGAGACATGGAATGAATGAGGCAAGGACGGAATGAGGCAGGGACGGAATGAGGCAAGGACGGCGTGAGGCAGGGACGGATGAGGCAAGGACGGAACAAGGCAGGGACGGAATGAGGCAATGGCAGAAAGAGGCAAGGACGGAACGAGGCAGGTACGGAACGAGGCTAGTACGGAGCGAGGCAAGGACGGAATGAAGCAGGGACGGAATGAGGCAAGAACGGAACAAGGCAGGGATGGAATGAGGGAATGGCTGAATGAGGCAAGGACGGAACGAGACATGGAATGAATGAGGCAGGGACGGAATGAAGCAGGGACGGAATGAGGCAAGAACGGAACCAGGCAGGGACAGAATGAGGGAGTGGCAGAAAGAGGCAAGGACGGAAAGAGTCAAGACATGAATGAGGCAAGGGCGGAATGAGGCAAGGACGGACTGATACAAGGCATAAATGATGCAAGGGCGGAATGAGACAATGGTGGATTGAAGCAGGGACGGAATGAGGCATTGGCGGAATGAGGCAAGAACGGAATGAGGCAGGGACGGAATGAGGCAGGGATGGAATGAGGCAGGGACGGAATGAGACAAGACATGAATGAGGCAAGGACGGAATGAGACAATGACGTAACGGGCAAGGACGGAATGAGGCAGGTACGGAACGAGGCAAGGACGGAACGAGAGATGGAATGAATGAGGCAAGGACGGAATGAGGCAGGGACGGAATGAGGCAAGGACGGCGTGAGGCAGGGACAAATGAGGCAAGGACGGAACAAGGCAGGGACGGAATGAGGCAATGGCAGAAAGAGGCAAGGACGGAACGAGGCTAGTACGGAGCGAGGCAAGGACGGAATGAAGCAGGGACGGAATGAGGCAAGAACGGAACAAGGCAGGGACGGAATGAGGGAACGGCTGAATGAGGCAAGGACGGAACGAGACATGGAATGAATGAGGCAGGGACGGAATGAAGCAGGGACGGAATGAGGCAAGAACGGAACCAGGCAGGGACAGAATGAGGGAGTGGCAGAAAGAGGCAAGGACGGAAAGAGTCAAGACATGAATGAGGCAAGGGCGGAATGAGACAATGGCGGCTTGAGGCAAGGACGGAATGAGGCAGGGACGGAATGAGGCAGGGACGAAATGAGGCAATGGCGAATTGAGACAGGGCATGAATGAGGCAGGGGCGGAATGATTCAAGGACGGAAGGGAGCAAGGGGGGAATGAGGCAAACACGGAACGAGGCATAGGCGGAAAGAGGCAAGGACGGAACGAGGCATAGGCGGAAAGAAGCAAGGGCGGAATGAGACAATGGCGGATTGAGGCAAGGACGGAATGAGACATGGAATGAATGAGGCAAGGATGTGGGATGATGCAAGGTCGGAAGGGGCAAGGGGGGAATGAGGCAAACACGGGATGAGGCAATGGCGGAATGAGGGAATGGCGGAATAAGACAAGGCCTGATTGAGGCAAGGGCGGAATGAGGCAGGGATGGAAGGGAGCAAGGGGGGAAGGAGGCAATCACGGAACGAGGCATAGGCGGAATGAGGCGAGGACGGAAAGATGCAAGCACGGAACGAGGCAGGGACTGTATGAGGCAATGGCGGACGTAGATTGCATGTCTTACCTCAACAGGGCTTGTACACATCAGTACGAATGTGTGGTCGACGCCGGAAATGCGCACTTAAACCTGCCTGTACACCCGCCTCGCCATCATGAGGCGAAGTCCGTACTGCAGGACGGCGTATTTGGTACGCCATGGGCGAACGGCCTCCAGGTCCAGACGGGGGTCGCGCAGGAGCTTGAAAAGCCAGGCCGTGGCCTCGTCGCTGAGGCCTTGGCCGCCATTGCATCCGATGACGAATCGGAAGAACTCCAAGGCCGTGTTGAAATCGTCATTGCCGTCCGTGATGGCGTCATCTTCGCTTTCAGCCAAATCAACGTCGTCATCGTCGGTCTCGTAGTCGGACTCATCCTCCGACTGCACCTCGGACGAGGTGTCTGCCCCGCATGGGTGTTGGCCCTCAGACCCCTGCACAAAAACGGAATATCATGAGACCTTGTTTGGTATGCTTCTCACATGCCAGCATGACGGGCTCAAACCAAACAACATCAATAAAACTGAGTGGGCTCACCTCCGGATTGATGGCCTCATGGTCAGCATCCGTCATTGGCTGGTCGTCGGCAGTCTCTGATGCCTCGGCAAAATAGTCGTTGATGTCAGCGAAGGGATTGCGTGCAATGAAACGAAGGTACCGTCTGCGTTCTCGGCGGCATTCATCACTATGCAGCTTGTGTGCTACCAGCGCGGTGCGTTGCGTGAAGTGCTCAAGGCACCATTCACAGGCGAAAAGGTAGGATACGGGCGGCATCGCTGCAGGACTCCACGCATGCTCTGTTTGACGAAATGCACAAGAATCTTGGCCATTTTTATACTGTTTAACTCGGTCGTTGGCAAGGGAGGTAAACGAGGCATTCGCGTTACGATGTCTGCCATCTAGCAAGCCTCGTCAAAATACGCGCCTCGAGCCTCTACGCGCAGATATACGAGCAACGTCACGTGGATATATTAGTGACGAATCAGTGAAATCGAAATCTGCAAACACGTCGGCTGAGCCAATGTGAAGCCACCGAAGAGACGCAGGGTGATTCTATGGCGTATAGCAGATGTTCAAGTTTGGGCCTGATGACACGACTGGCACGTTCTCCAGACACGAGGCTCCTAAAAATCTAGATACTATGGAGAGCATATTTAGGACACGACTTCGTGCGTGATGGAATGCGTGCCACGACCTGGCTAGGGTTTGGCGTGACTGGCGTAATCATTTGGCACTGTGGTGTGACACCTCATGAAGCGTGCGTTTGATTTTTCTTACGGTTATAGACGATATCAATCTTCGTATGTGCGAATTCTGAGTAGATCAGCTCGTGTACCGCTCGGTGGTGTCACTCCGTATGAGTGTGTGTTCTAACGGGTCGTGCAATAATGAGTCATCCGGTAGTTACTTGGGCAAGCAGCAGAACGCTTGTTATGTGTCAGAGACTTCGCACGCCTATCCACCTTTACTCTCGTGAAATTCGCCCACGCCTAGCCAACTCTAACAATGGCATCCTCAGCGTCAGATTTTGTTTTGGGAACGGTGAACAACGGCAAGCGACGTTGGCGGTGCGATCGCAACCTGAACAACACAGAGCCTTACAGCCGATACCAGGGCCCGACGTGGCCGCGCACGCGGACACCCAAAACAAGGCCTGGTAACATTCACGTGTTCGTGCGGGACTACCCCGACATTGCAACGGTACTAGTCATGCAAGCTGAATATGCACGACTGCTGGCCAGTGACGAGCGACCTACCCCCAAGGAGTTGGCAGACAGCATTGAGCACCTGGTCACTACGAGCCGCGCCGTGGCACACAAGCTCTGTCGCCACTCTGAAGATCAGCTCCGTGAGTTCCGTGGTCTGGAGCACGATGCGGAGCTCACTTATGTCGACCTCCGCATCATTGAGGCAGTTTTCAACGACGACCGGGACCCCGTTTCCGTCGTGCTAAGGCGTTTGCGGAGCTGGCGGCTGCGGGGTACCGTGGCGTAAACGTGATGGCCAAAAACGTCAACGAACCCGTCGCCTCAGAGCCGCCAAAGGATGATTTTCGACGGTACCTCATGGAGTTCGCGCATTCGGAAGGATGGGTGGTAATGTTTCTGTTAGGCCTCGTTTTCAACGATTTTTTAACCCTTCGCAATCCTTTGGTGTGATACTAGATGTGTTGAGTGGCATTTATCATATCATGACACGTGCTTTATTGTTGAATCATCGCCACGTACGGACTTCCCAAACATGCAGCTCGACAGAGGCTTCTACAACTATGTTGGGGCTCCAGATGCGCGTGAGGAGTACAAACACGCCAAACTTCCTGGGCATATCCCAGACAAGTTCCAGCAAGGATCTCGCGTTGGCGGTGCAGATGGTATGGGAGCGGGGGTGCTTGCGCACGCGCTAGGCATGATGGCGTGGTGGGAAATACCACCGCGCGAGGTGCGAGGATCCTTGCTCTGCACAGTGCAGTGGCATTACTGCAAGTTTCCGTGGGAAGAGCCGACCATTTGTGAGGGGCCGGTGGTATTCAGGCTGGTCTCACAGGAATATGACGATTTTAAAATCGACCGTGTTTACAGTGGCTGAAAACTTTGGGGCTGTGTCAGATCTGACGCTAACCCTGAAAACTTTGGGGCATGGAGGTGGGAGGGGAGGGCAGAAGCCGAGGGGGGTAGATGCTGGGCGAGATGTGCAGTTCCGACAGGCGACACTACAAATATTGCTGGGTGTGGAATCAAATCAGGCGACATTAATGACTCGGCACTGACCGAATCTGTCGCATGAGGCGACGGGCGGCGGCTTCCCTTCGCGAAGCGTGCGGTGGTTCTTTATGGTGACGCGAGTGACGCGAGATGAACTACAAGGGTGGGAGGCTAGGAGGGCAGGGTGGAAGAAAACGGGGGTAGATTCAGAGTGAGATACGCATTCGCAAATAGCTTCAAA